ATCATCAAATCATTGGTCCTCATTAATTCCATTTGGCTTATTTATTCAATTTCACATATCTATTCCACTTACTTATGCAGGACAGTCCCCCGTCACCCGCTGAAATAACAAACAGTGATTCCATTCCTGCTTCATTAGGGGATGCATGTAATAAGCGACTTAGCAGAAGGAGGGACAAATAAGTATCCAAGGTTGTACAGCTGCTGCAACACCAACCCAGGGCATCAGAAATAAGCAGCATTAGACCTTCATTATAAAAATCAATAAATGCATACATATAATATGTATATACATGCATGCTGGACAATTAATCCAATTTTTTGTCACAACATTTAATAATAATGAAGTAAATAGTGTACTGTGGATGTTTATTTTTGCACACAAGGTGTTTAAGATAATTATTCCCTTTACACAGCAGCAGTTAGTATGCCATTGCCAATGTCGATGTCCTGCCACTATCAGTGCATTGACATTTTATCTAGATTGTTACAGAAAAACAACTGTGATCTTTCAGGGTTATTTTTTTTGTTTTAAAGGCAGAGTTGTCATAACCTCCAGAAGACTGTCAAGATACCAAGGACATTGAATTCACTAATGAAACAATTCTGTTCAGTTAATGTTTCCAAACCTCTATTTACATCATTGGATCGACAAGTTCCTCCCAAAGTACGATTGCCCCATGCAGCTTACAATTGCCATGAATCTGGTCCTTTGACAGTATTGTACAATCATTCAAAAGCAGAATTTCAAGTTGCCATTTCTAGTTATTTTGTAGATATTAACAGAGCATCTATAGGGTAAAGATGACACACCCATTTGTATATTGATTCGATTGAAGGTGCGTTTGTGTCACTAACAGCATTAAAGTTTTTAAGGCAGTTCTTTGTGGAAACTCACACTCCGGAGATAGATACATGATAACTATGTGACTGCTCTATTCATTAACATCTCTCCATCTATGTCAGCCTCTATGGTGGCTTTCATGCTGTGTGAGCATTGGGATACAGTAGCAGAACTGAATGTGGCAAAAGGGAAGTAATTACACATTAATCGAGTGTGCCGTGAGTGGGAGGTTATCGATGAATACAAGTGCTGGTGCGAGAGTTCTGTGATGAGATGAAGACGGACATCCATAGACATTGATGGTTGTAATGAATAGAGAGAGTGCTGCCATAATGACACTTTACCTGTAACAGTGCTCATTAAGAAGACCAGCCCATTGGTTGACGAGGATGAGAGATGAGCTGTCTTCATGACATGGACAAAAGAATGGTCTTATGAATTATTGAACCCTAGAAGGGCAGGACAAGTTCACGCAAAACCAGTGGCAGGGTTAGTAAATGTTGAATATATATATATATATATATATATATATATATATATATATATATATATATATATATAATTTGTATATGGACAGGGCTTTAGATACATTTCAATGGATATGTAATGGATGGAATGGAATGGATATGTAAATGTGTACATGAGTGCATGTGCAATTCTTTGGCTGGGTTAAGCAAGTGTGAGTTTGCAGCCAACATGAATAAATAACCACTGTTTGTAACTTCCAACAATAAACAATAAGCAAAAGTGCTTTCCAACCTAGGACATATTGTCTCATTTACGATGGGGTTTAGGAAAAAACTAACCAACAAAGCTCTATGCCAGCTCAGAGAGAGACTCTGGGAGAGGAGTTACTTTCTCATCTCTATAACTACAGGTGAAGTTGTACTTTGCGACTCAGGCATTTTAATAAGGTCACATTTCAAAGTCGATGGTACCCTTAAAGTCTTGGTTGTATGCTATAAACATACATTAACTGCTGAATTTATTTTGTACAAAGCACATAACCTCCTCATATTAGCCTAATTTCCTTCTCTTGCAGTCTTTTCACTCAGCAAAGCAACTCTCATGCAGTTTAAGCTTGTCCCACTCCATCTTCACCTGCAATAACTTTTCCTTGTAGTCAATCGTTCGACTGCCACACTCCCCTTATCACAATTACACATGTAGCTTTGCAACATGGTGGTTCCTCGATTGGCAATAATGCTCCTGTGCAATGATTGTGTGTCCATGTGCACAGCATAACTGAAACGTATTAAAAGCAAAATAAAAAAAACACGATGCTTTCAACAAGATGCTACAATGTCTATTTTTTAATAGAAAATATCCAAAAGGTCTGATGGACCACAGGATATTATTGGCCCCTGTATTATCACACTGTAATATAAACATGGGGTGTTTAGGATCCAACACAGTCTTATGGCAGCCTGCACATTAGCAATGGAACATAATCCATTAGTTTGGACACAAACAAGATCCATCAACCTTGCAACCTGCCCAGAAGAAAGACTGTAAAAAAGGCGAATGAAATGTGCTGTTGGTCAACTGGAGCAAAACTGAAATGAGATTTTTTTTATTTTATTTGAAGATACTCTAATTAACATTGTTTCACACCATTCTCATTTCCAGTTCTTCAAATACAGTCCCTTTGTCAGTCGTTTTCATGGACTGACGCATTAATCTAAGATTTAACTGAATGAGATCAGAATGACATGCACTACGCTTTCAGCGGGGTACAGGATAAACCAAGAAACATACTGCCACTAGAGGACGAAGTAAAAAAAAAGTTACAGTGATTTGTTTTAATTCACTAACGTACCCTACGTAATTACAAAATGTATTTAAACCAAGACCATGTCCATCTGGACTGCTGTTGAAGTATTCCTGCTATGACTTTTCAGCTTTCTACCTCTTATGCTTGAATTAATATAAATCAAATCCATAAACTCTTTTTAACATGGTTTCCAATGGGGTTTTTTTCAAATCCGCTAAAACCTCTTCAACTTTCAAATCTTCCTTAATCTTTCAGTTACAGACCGTATTTCAACTCTAAAATATTGACAAAGGCCTAAAATACCTTTCTTTAAGAGACTGCTTTCGGATATTAATTCAACTTTTAATACCACTGATTGTGTTTCATAGTTTTTCAGACAGTACTTACACACAGAATCATCTGCCACCTTGTCACGGGTTATTACAGAATCAGGTGTAGTAGATGTTTGGAGGCTCAAACATGCAGACACCGGACTAGGACACATGGGTCAAGGTGTTGGATGGCAACGTTAGGGCAGCCAGACTGGACAGGGTGTACATGTCTTGTGGTTTTAGCAATCGTTGGTTGAGCAGTCGCATTGGCCCTGTGATGTTCACTGACCATCACTTGGTCACACATTCACATCTCGCCGACCACCAAGTGCAGTTCCTACTGGCACTTTAATGTTGGGGTGCTTCAGGACAGGGATTTTTGTCAAAAGTTTAAGGTTTTCTGGGGGATCAGGAGAATAAGGAACAGCGACTTCGGGTCCCAGAGTCAGGGGTCGGATGTAGGAAAAGCATAGATATGTATTATTTTTACAACAGTATACAAGTCACCACAGTAAGCGTTAAAAGGGTCATTACGGGATTGGAGCACTGGCTCAAGCCAGGACAGATATTCAAACAATAAAAAAGAAGCAACAACTGTGTTCATACCGAAGGGAACCGGCTAAAGCTTGGAGCTTTGTGTTCGCACCAAAAGTTAAATTATTTGTGCAAGTAGATTCCATGAAAAGGTAATGCAGATGAAGTGGATTTTTTTTTTTGTCACAGCGTGAAAGACGCAAAAAAAAGTGAACAAAACAAATGAATCGCTTTTTCGATTTTTTTTTTTTTTGTGAAAGCCAATCAGCCTTGCCCCCTTTCAGGAACGAATGAAACGGAACAAATGGGACGGGAAATGAGGCCCAATTAACTACATCTAGTCAAGAGAGTATCGCGTTTTTTGTTTTGCTTTTGGTGTGAACACAGCATTAGGGACATGGATGCCCCCACCTCCCAGATGATTAGCTGACAACTGACACGGTCAAAATGAGACACCATGCAGTATAGTTTTACAGCGCCCTTTTCTGTAAGAAGGGAAACCACAGAGTGTTAACGATCTGCTTCAGGATCTTCCGCAGCTGGGTCCTGATGACAGGCCCTGGAGGAAATAATTGCTGCTGTGGGTCAGATGGCTGCTGGCAGAGCTCCTGGACTGGGTGGCCTGCCAATGGATTTCTACAAACGCTTCAGGGAGTGTCCGGTTGAGTTGTCAAGTTCAAATGCAGCGAGGCATAAGGCAGGGATGTCCCATATCTGGTCAGTTTTATACCACTGCCGTTGAGATCCCATCAAACAGGACTGATGTTACCTGGGCAGCTTCAGCGGCCCACACTGGCGGTGTCCGCATATGTTGATCACATGTCTTTGGGACCAGACCAGAGGGATGTCAGTGTTCTAGGTAGCAGCTTAGGTTTGTTTGAGAGGGCATCTTCAGCAAAGGTAAACTGGGGGAAAAGCTTTGAAGGTTGAGTAGTGGTTAGGCAAAGAAACACCAAAGCTACCAGGAAACATCAGATGGGGAAGGCAGAGCCTGAAGGTTTTGGGTGTTTTCATGGGGACAGATGAATTTCAATGGCAGAACTGGGAGAGTGCCATGGGCTGTCTAAATGGAAATGGCGGCTACCTCAGCTATCTTAGAGGAGAAATGTCCTAATTGTCGATAACTTGGTTGCCTCAACCCTTTGGCACAGACTGATAGTACTACCTCCACACTGATTGAAGAGATAGTTGTGGAATTCTGGTCAGGGCTTCACTGGTTGAGATCTGCGACAGAGCCTGGTCTACATTGCATTGCGCATCATAGCCTTCAGACTAAAGACAGCTCGGAGAGTGCTGTACAGACCTTGGCCTGCCATGGACTAACACTGCCTGTCTTCTGCTAAGAAGAGCTGGACGATTAGGGTATGACAAGCACTTGTTCCTACAAGTCAACACCGGGGATGTGGCTTTTTGGAGAGCCGTTGTTTGGGAGCAGCTACATCACATCCCTGGTCATGACGTCCGTCAGTATGAGATCCAGACAGAGAGAGGCTTTGTGAAGCTGGGTCATCTAATGAAGACCTTCATTGCTCATCTAGCGGAGCTGAGCAACGGCTGGTCCAGCAGGCTGCTGCTCAGGCTGGTGGAGGAGGTCTATGCTTCGTTGCCGGAAGTCGTTCCACCATGTCTTCCCACCCCTGGCTGTCTGTCCTGCTGCAGGAGTGGAAGGATGAGGAGGACCTTGTGTTTCAAAAGCAGCATACTAGGTAAGTGTGAAGGACTCTAACTTGCATGCTTTGGCCGAAGTGAAGGTGTCAGAGTAGACAGGGGGCTGTTGATGGTCCCTGTATGAACACCATGTGGACAAATGGACAAGGGACCTCCAGTGGAGGACAGGACATGGGGCGATAGCTACTAACCGGTATCTGGTACACATTAATCCTGGCTTAGAAGATGGCTATTCCGTCTGCTCTCAGACAGAACCATCCACCATCTTTTTGTTAAGTGCTCCAGATTCCTTTCAGGACTGGGGAAAGTAGCGCTGAAAGACGTTCTGTGTTCAGTTAGAGACATTGCTCTGGTTCGGAATTTTTGACTTGTTCTTTCTTTTGTATATATATTGTGTTCTGTGGGATTTAGTGTTTTTTATCATTTTTCTTTGATAAACAGTATCTCTTTCCCTCTTTCTCTGAGTGGAAGGAGTGCTGAGTGAAGGGAGCGTGAGATGAATTGTGGTTGTGTTTTTCTGTCAGTTATCTTGTTTAGTTTCTGCATCTATGTGGTGTGTATTGTGGTTTGAATGTGTAGCGTGACTTTTTTTTTGTGGGTTAGTTTTTGCATGTTTGCAGCCGATCAGCATGCTGCATGATGGACTGGCGCAGACGCGTGAAGCACAGCGTGAAGAACAACGTGAAGCACGGCATGAAGCACGGCGTGAAGCTTGCGTGCTGGGTGGACGACTGCGGCATGGCCGTGAGGGGATTGGTGGGTGGAATGTGCGTGGAATGCTTATGCCTGTTCTGCGTCTTGCCTTACTGGCGGACAGAGTGACAGTATCAAACATTCTGCCGTTTCTTCTCGACAAGGTTCTTTTTGAAGAGCTGGTGAAGAATGGGAAAGTATCCTCAGGATGCAGGTCTCCTCTGCTGAGATGTGGTATCTCACAGGAGACTGCTCCACATTGTCCTCACCAAGGCCCATGGTTCTCAGCCTGGTGATTAAGGTGAGGATCGATGGCGTTGATTAGGTCATGTTTGTTACCTCTGATGGGAGATGTTTCAATTGTGGTGGAGCGGGACACCTGGGGAGGGTTTGTCCAGAAAAGAACCCCTCTACTACCGGGATGCCATGGAGTAAGAGGTTGCAGGTCGGTCTTGTGTGTGACTAAGTGAAAAAGGGTAAAGTAGGGTTTTAATGGTCCCCCACCTGAAGAGGAAGACGGGGGAAGCAGAGGTGACTCTTGGGGAAAGAGAGGGGCAGCGAGCAGAGGGGAGTTGGTAGGTGGGGTGACAGAGTGAGATTCCTCTTTGGAGTTTTTCCCCAGGGAGCAATTAGGGGTTAGGTGTCTTGCTCAGGGACACTTTGACTTGGGACGTGGGGCAGCCGGGACTCAAACCACCAACCCGGTTCCCAGCGCACACACTCTTCTTGCTGGAAACAAAGAACGAGAGAGGAGTGAGGCTGGATGACTCCTTCTCCGACATGGATTGAGTTCTCTCGCTCGGTTTGGCATTGCAGCAGTAAAAAGCGCACTGGAAAATACATCCAGCAGGAGGTCATCAGACTGAGGAAGTTCATCCTCAAAATCAACAAGTGAGGTGGGAGCACTACTGAGGACTGAGGGCCTCAAGTATGTACATTTGCAAACTTCAGCGTCACGGAGGATGCGCAGATAGCGCCCACTGTGATCCTTTAGCTTACGTCATATTTTCGAAACCTTCAGCGCAACAGGTAATCAGCGCCTTTCTCTGCCCACTATACCGCACATTGCAAGCATTTAAACGTGCTGAATGTACCTCCTACACTCTTTCTATCTTCGGTCAGCCAGAGTCAAAACAGCAAAAACAAAAATTCTGTGACAACGAAATTGATGGTTTATTTGGGCATCAGTGGTGGGGAAATGTATGTTTTGACTAGTGTCCTGTAGCAAAGCGTTAAGTACCTGTGCTGTGATACGGTTGAGTGCAGGCTGCGATATTCCCACTGCTGAAAAGAATCCTGCTGCCAATAATTGTAATGTAACAAGGAGCTTAACCCTAACTACTGGAATGGTATGTACATGCTGAGTTGGCGATATGATGTCATCTTTGATTTCTTTCGATAACTGTAATATAACTGCTTAATTATTTTCAGCTTTGCTTATTTCTGTATCTTCAGCAATTTTTTGAAATTTGTTTCAGCCTTTAGCATTCAAATGCATTTTTAGCAGTAAATGCATTTTCTAGTTTACTGGAAGCTTCGTGCTTTCTTTCACAGGTTTCCATGGACGGTGGTTCTATCTGAACTCTGGACAGAGATTAGGAAGTCAGGTTCTCCACATCAACAGTAAAATGGTATGATGTTAAGCTCACAACTATGTCTGCTGCCCCAAGTGTCCAATAAATAAAAGATATTATGATTAATATTATTAATAGGCTAAATAATAATAACAATTCATTATTACCATTAATTGTGGTAAAAAGAGTATGCTAGAGTGTATATTTTGTTAATTTGATAATGTTTTAGAATGTTAGAAATTTATTTCAGTTTCATTCAATTCAAACATAAAATTTCAGAATTTGAAAAGTATTGTAGTACCACACAGCGGGTTAATTTGTAGCCATAAACCCAGAATTGCGCATGTAACGGTATCATTGTGCATAAAACGCATTAAATAAAAATGTTTTTGATTGATCCATCCATCCATCTATTGGATGCTTTGCAATACACCTTGCATTGACTTGAAATAGCTCTCTGCTTGGTAACTAATGGGACCATCGAATTACTTTTTTTTGTCTTGCACTAAGGCAAGATCTCGGAGGGACTTCCAGTTTCTAATTAATAATTGGTATATGTGGCTGACGCTCTGTGAGATTATTTGAAGTCATTAGAAAACACCCCCTTCCACTGAATCTTCGGAGAGAAAGAAGGCGACTAGCTGTCCTACTGGGATTTTATCGACGCACCAATAGTGTTTTGTTCATGAAATTTAATTGCGGCATCCACAAACTTGTTCCTGTGGGTATTACAAAATAATGACTCTGTTCTAACATGAAATTAAAAGCAAAAATGGTTTTTTTTTCCTTTGGGCTGGAATCTTAATGAAAAATATGAATGCTGACACCCTAATTCCTGTTGTTCTCGTGCCTTACTTCATTGTTTGATGATAAATTACCACTAGTCTTGACTCTCAATCAAATTCCCTCTGTGTTTGGTTTCCATATCTTGCAGCTTTCACTGTACAAAAAGGCTCCCCCCTGGCACTTCATACAGAAAGTTCCCTTTGTTCTGTAGAAAATTGACCAAATGCAAAGAGCCATGTGCGAACTGCTGTTTGATGACAAACAACGGGACATACAGTGCCCTGACAAATTAGTAGAATACGCAATTTGCAACGGCTTACAGATCATACCTGAAAAATAGGCCTACAAATAAGACGTAAAATAAGAACAGAGGGTTTCAGATATCATCGTCGAGGGCAGCAGATTGAAAAAAAGGTTCTTGAGGACGGGAGCGTATGGCTAAGGCTCGAGGACAATGGAAAGCAGCAGGACAAACACATCTAGGCTATTGATTTATTGGAGGGTATAGTCTTAGAGACGGGTGCAAGATTGATCAAATGGAAGGTTATCCTTACTCACAGAGGCAAGCTGTTTGCCAATATCCATCACTGGAAACTTAAAATGGCTCAAAGAATCCTTGACATTCCCCAACACTGCAGAGGCAGAGCAGGTTAAGAGATCCTCTGTGTGCTGAGGGATTGTTTCAGACTCCCCACCAAGCAACGGCTGTGCCGCAAAAACAAGCTTAGAGACGTTTTTAGATCAATACAATCTACATCTATCCATTCGGGCTGGGTGATAATGTTATATTGGGAGTTTTTCTAATGACAGAGACATTTCATTTGAAACATATATTAATGCAATTATTTCTGTTATAACTTGACAAACAGTTGTATAATTATCATCATCCTAATTATTTTAAGTAGACTAATTCTTTATAAATGAACAGAAGTCTTAGAGAATAGGAGTGTGTCTCGATGATCAGTGAGTTACATAGAATGTTTTCTGGTGGCTTTGAGGAATGTATATTTTCTTTGTGTTTTACATTAAATTACATGTCATTTAGCTGACGCTTTTGTTTAAAGCGACTTACAATAAGTGCATTCAACCATAGGGGTACAAACTCAGAAGAACAAGAAACAATAAAGTGCAACATATGTACATATACATATTGTTCTCTTATATTTATTGTAAACATTGAAAGGTCACAAACCACGGTGCTCACCCGAACAACAGCATGCTGACACTATTACCTTTTTAAGTACATTGAGGAAACAGTTGAGAGTCATTTGACCTCTTATTAATTGAATGACCTATTATAACAGATTTAAGTACCTCTGTACTCCGTCTCTGAACCTCTAAGCCACAAAAAATGTTACACTTTTACCCATCTAAGCTCGTTGCGACAGTGGAGCTACATTTCTATCCCGACACTTGGAAGTCTCCTCTCCTCTTTCAATCTCACCTTCGATACCAAATCAACAGCAAGCTCAACCGACTCCGTTGTGTCTGTTTTAGTGAAGGGACTGTCTGTTCCTGCAAGGCTGCCGTCCTGTTATGGCTGATGAGGAATAGCTTTGTGCCCGATGGTGTTTACTGTCCTCAATGAAGAATCTAAAAGTGAGTTGTTTTGTAGAGGTTACAGTTCATGTAGCAACATTTAACTAATGCATTTGCAGTAAATAAGATTTTGACGCTAACTGTGAGAGGAAGCGAAGGAGAAAATGAACAAAAACACTTTTTTTTACTGCTGCTATATTAAGGGGGCTTTATGAATACTTACCACATATTCTGAACTGGCCCAGACGGGTCTGGGAAGTTATGGCCTGTTGAGTATCTATTAATTTGCTTCTGCACTCGTGTTGACAAGAATCACCACCAGGTTTACTGGCCTGATTGTTTCGTCTGTCAGGCCACGGGAGTAAAATGAGAAACAATTAATTCCTCTGAACCAAAATCCACCCTGTCCATTAATCTTGTAATTGCAAAAGAACACAGAGGAGGCGGCGATGGCAGCTTGTCAAATGGGGGATGTGAGTTGACGGAGATCCACTCATCACAGAGATGGAATGCAAAAGCTTTCACACGCCAGTGATCTATTTACGGACATTTTACCTCATCGTACATGTTTTTCTTTGCTAAATATGACATCAATTATGTGGTCAACATATTGCACCACGTAAGCTCAGGGGCATGCACATTCTTTACCAAAATACATTGATAAACTGGTCAAAACTAATCATAATTTTTCATTATCAATAATTTAGTTGTGCTGTGTATTAAATTGCCTGTGACTGCCAGTTATTCTGACTGCACATTTATAAAAACATTGTGAAAGTGAACAGGCAGGGTCCAATATGTTTCTATGCAATTGTTATGCTTTGGATAGTATTTAAAAAGGCTGAAATATTTTTTTTAGGTTTTATTTAAAAAAAAAAAAAAAAAAGGAAATACTGAATGGGCTGTGACAAATGGCCCACAGACAAGCTTCTCACAGCTGGATCAATTTATGTGTAACTAATGTGTGAATCTTTGTTGGGCCATTTCAGAGAGGTCTTTAAAATAAAATACAATAAAAATGTTAATATATTTTTGCTTTTTTATGTGCAGTTTGAAGCTACTGTGAGGAACTTAAAGTAAATGTTGGTGGTCTGTGTGGTCAAAAGCAGCAGTTTATTAACGACAGATCCCTTTTAGAAAACCTCTCTAAACTGGAAAGTGGGTCTGTCATTCTAATATGCACGGTCCCGTCTGCTGCGTGTTGCAGGCTCCCAGCAGAGGCCGGTGGAGCAGCGGGGCAAACCTCTCTTTCTGACTGGAAGAGGAGTAGCTGCTGCCGAGCCACCCACCTCCCACTTGTGATCTGATTGCAGATCAAAGGCGGCAACAAAGCCGGATCTGGGACTATCCATTGCGGGATGGCTTCTGCTGAAGGCCTCACTAGAGTCTGAGTTTAAGGTGTCAGGTGAACCGGCGTGATTTCATCTGGTTTTTCCAGAATCAGACCAATCAAGACAACAAATGTCATGGTTCAAGGCTGGGTTAGGACACAGGGGAGGATATGTGAGTGGTGTGATGAGACAATTGGAGGCAGCTGGGTGGAGCTGGCAGGTGAGTAGGATGAGCGCAAACAGACACACAAATATACAAAGAAAAGACATGATGAGACTAACGAGACGTTACACCAAATCTCAGCTCACGAAAACCAAAATGATCTGGGTAGATATTAGGGCTGGGCCAATTTACACAGGTGCGTTAACGTAACAATCCATTAACCCCGACAAGGATTTCCTCATGCGCAATTTTTTCTTTTGGAGCATTAGGTGGGGCTTCCATACTCAACAAAAAGCAAAGCTATTTGCAACCACTGCAACCCAGAAGTATCTCATATAACGCAGCATTGATACAGCCCACTAGCTACCCGAACAACAGGTGGAGCCAATCTTCAGCAGACTACTTAGGACGTGGCATGCATTCACTTCATTATTGTGTATATATAATGCAATTAATCGCTGTTAATCACAGAACACTAGTGCGATTAATCAGGTTGTTTTTCTTCATCTTTTCCCAGCACTAGTAGATACATGTGCCACCAAAGGTAAATGACAAAATCTGCTTGGGTGAAGCGACCCTTATATTAGACAGCACTGTCAAACATGATGTGAGTTATTCACATTTGATGGTCCCATATTCAGGAACAATCGTTGTTGGTGTCCTATAATATATACTCTGAGATATTACTGGTGCTTTATAAGATGACACAATAATATTTATTTCGTCATAATTGTTAATTCATCTAGATTTCTTTGTCTGAAAAAGAGTGTTACAGATAGTGTGCTCTGTCATCTCGCCGCTATATCATGAGAAAAGTCCCACAGTTTCCACTGCAGGCGCTGGTGTCACGCTCATCACGTTTGACAGCTGTTCTAACTTTACCGCATCTGCTTATTTGGAGAAAAGTCTGCCGCTATCATTAGCACATTCACAACATTGCCATATTGCCCCCTTTCTTGCATCTGTTCTCAGAAGTAAACTGTAACTGATGGCATTATCTAAAGCCGTGATTCAATAATCTGGCTAATCCTTTGGGACTTCTTAGAACTGGATGTTGTAGGACTGAACACTTGCTGTGCTCTTAGAAAAGTAGGAAGCCTTAGAGTCAAGAGTTGAAACCATAGTGTGCGGGATAAAAATAATTTTGGGATTGGGATTGGTTTTGGAAAATAAATGAACATGGTCTACAGAAGTGGAGGAAAACGTTGTTGCTTGCACACAGATGATGACAAGAATATAAAATCTATGACTGATTAAATAGTTGCATTCATCAAAATTCACATTTATCACAAACGACAGCACTGCAGTGTGTCAGCGATTAGAATGCACGCTTGTTTAGGGGATGGGCTGCATTGGAAGGGCCATTTTATTTGCAGTGGCTCTATGTTTAGACTGAAGGAACACCAGGGTCATAAGAAGCTTTGGGGTGAGGAAAAAACACACACATCACCTCCTACCCTCCATCCCTTATTCCTCCACACTTTCCTGCAAACCCTGCCATTTCTGAGATTTATAAATAGTATTAAGCTTGTTCTTGGCGCTCTTGTCGTTATGGGCCGCTCAGTTTGAGTGGCGGTTGTCAGGGACAATTTAAATCATACTTTTATAGAAAAAGGGCTGTTTGCCGAGGAGGAGAAAATTCCCTTTGAGGAGGCAAAGTCTTGGTTGGAGTAAATTGGGCACACTAAATGGTGATCTATCTTGGTAAGTAGTTGTAAAAGGCGTCAGTATTCCAATAATGCCAAAAGTCTATGAAACTTTCAGATAATCACTTTGACTTTGAGCAAATGATTTTAAGTAGTATGGCAACAACGGGGAAAGATAAACAGCAGCCATTCTAACCTACTTTATGTTCCTTTAAATATGGAGATTCATAAATATGTGCAAGGTCCCTTCTACAAGGACAGTTTGCTGGTTTCTATAATGTAACCTATGACATACATACGTCAATCATAATATTTTTTTGTTTTGTTTGTGCTGCATATTCAGGTGGAATCAAGCCTGGCTGTCTTG